CTCTCTCTATTGTCACAACACACCGCGCATATATATAGAGAGTCTCTCTCTCTCTCTCTCTCTCTCTCTCTCTCTCTCTCTCTCTCTCTCTCACGTGTTGATATGATGATCCATCTTTGGTTTTGTAGGGTGCCATTTCGCTGACCCGGCAGCTGAATAACTACAGGGAATATGAAAATGAAGTGGTGAGTATGGTGGGAAGAGCTAAAGCCAATGCCATATTCTCTGGAGCCGTTCACCTTCTAAGTGCAGGGACCAGTGATTTCATTCGAAACTATTACATCAATCCCCTTCTTAGAGTCTACTCACCTGAACAATTCTCAGACATTCTCATGATATCCTACTCCACTTTCATTCAGGTCACTCCAAACTCAGATTATGCATGCTGCATGTTTTCCCCTTATCTTAACTTTTTATATACAGCACCACACACCCACGACCCAAAAAGTAAGAAATAATCTCATAGCTGATTGATGTTTGCTGACGAAAGCCAAACCTAAACCTAAAACTAGAAATTGCAATTGCGCATAACACAAACCTGAACCCAAATAAATGTACAGTGATCATATAGTTCTAGATTGCATGAAGATTCGCAGCTACCTATGGTGAAGTTAAATTGAAAGCTTCAGTAAGGCAATACGGGGAAAAGGTGTCATAATGGTGACCTTGAATTTAAATAGAAAATTCAATCATGTTTGATACAGCAAAGTAATTGGACATCATTCTGCATCTGTTTCTTCATATACACTCTCATGACATATGTGACAGAACTTGTATGGACTGGGAGCGCGAAGGATTGGAGTCATAAGCTTACCACCAACTGGGTGTTTGCCAGCAGCAATCACCTTATTTGGCTTAGGAAGAAACCAGTGCATCCCAAGGTTAAACCAAGATGCCATTTCATTCAACAATAAGCTAAACAACACATCTCAAATTTTGAAGAGCAGACTCCCTGGTCTCAAGCTTGTAGTGTTCGATATCTTCCAGCCTGTCCTGGATATGATCACAAACCCTGGTGATAATGGTAAAGCACCTCTGTTCAATAGTTGATCAATGTGAAAAACACAAAAACAAAAAAGGGCAACAAGAAGAACCACCATACTAGTTACGAAAAAACATTTGTTTTTTAGCATCAATAGAAAGATTCTCTCTATTGCTTTTGTTTGGCATTTGTTGTGTAAGTTTAGATTAGATAGTTCGAATATGTATGGGATTGATTATTACGTTTATTGCTTGATAACCAAATTTCATTATCTGACAGGGTTCTTTGAGTCAAGAAGAGCTTGTTGTGGAACAGGTAGATTGGAAACCTCTATGCTTTGCAACTCTAGGTCTGTAGGAACATGTACCAATGCAACTGGTTATGTGTTTTGGGATGGCTTCCATCCCTCTGAAGCTGCCAACGAGGTCCTGGCTGGCAATCTACTTCAGCAGGGGTTTTGACCTCATATCTTGAATCTATATCCCCAGTGGCATAATCTAAGACTACTGCACTCTCTTTATCTTATAAATATTATGATATAAAAAATAGGCATTTAGTGGTTTTAGTTCCAGAATATAGTTTCCTCATAGTCTGAAGTCTCCTAAGCTATACGTGTTTCAATCCTTTGTGTTATGAGATCATTTAAGTAAGATCATGGCCCAGTTCTCTAAACTGGTCCAAGTTAGTAAAATTAATATTGCATGCACAAACCTGAAGTTATTGAATATGCTTTCTTAATGATTTGCCAAATATTTTTTATACATGAAAAGAAAAAAAAATCTAATACGTCAAACTATAGGTGGAAATTACCATCTTAGTGGATAATATGAAGTATCTTGGTTTAACCCTTTCTATAATAGCTCATCTGTAATAATTTTATTGTTTAAAAATCCATGCAATCAAGGACACTCAGAATCCATCTTGCTTTCAGTATGTAATAGGTGATAAATACTGTTACAAAATAGAATTAACATTAAGGGTTCAGTAAGAGAAGTAAAATGTATAACCTGAAGGGGATCCTTAAGAAAGTTCAAATCCTGCATTGGAACTGATTGCATATAGAAGTTTTGCTCTCAAAGTGCTCGGACGTTTGTAAGTTGGAAGCTGCAAACATCACAGAGAATGAAATCATAAGTGCGGTTTCAAACTGACAAAATTAAAATGAGCATCAGTAGCGGCAGATGTAATTGATAGTCTGGTATCTGTTCTGAACTCTATCTATTGCAATGTTATTGAAAAATTAGAAAGGGGGAGGATGGCATTTTCCATTTATTGTACCTTCAGAGTATTATAGCAAGTTGATGCTGATGGAAGCCGCTCAACATCCTCTCCCTTCATTGCAGACCAAAGAGGGATATCGCATGCAACCTATATAAGACCCAATTCTTGAGCAATTGCATACTAGATACACACACGTAGTTGTAAGATCAATTACATACCTTATGGATTGTAAACATCGGTTGTAAATGTTTAAATCCAAGTAATGGAGCTCGAGAACAACTGGTTACGAATTTTAGAAGCATACAACGTTCACTAGGTTCAAATCCTTTGATTACCTGTGATAATGGTCGGAAGAAACTCAATAAAACATAAAAAGATCATAGGTATCCTAAATCAAAATGCGCATCTATAAGACAAGATACAAACGAAATACCATAATTAAATATGCCACATGATACAGAATAAATTGAAAAATCAGAAAATGATGAAAGTTGGCCGTTTCTCTTCTGGTGAGAGACATGAATCAGCACTGAGATTTTCTAGAGAGAGAGGGAGAGAGCAAAATATTTTTATATAAGCATATTTGGTCTTGAATGTTTAACAGAAAATAGGCAGTAAATACGGAATCCAAATCAAATCATTGAAAAAGGAACAGGTCAGTATTTTACGAGAACCATCTTGGAGAAATTAAAATTAGGAACACCTAATTATACAAAACATAAGCTCATTCAAACCACCACAGAATTGTCAATACCTCCCAAAAGATTTTAATCGTCCGGTTCCCGTCAGAGTAACCGCCAGTGTACCTTGTATTCTTTCTTAAATCATCAACATCAATGTCATGGTTTCCACCTGAAAGCAACTGTATATGGTAGTTATAGATCAGTATTTGACAACTGAATTCATGTGCATCAAAGTCAGCACTCTTAAAGGCAAAGTATTTGGAGGACTTGATGAATCATAATTCTGGCCCATCATGACCAAGTACATTGTTATTATTAAAATATTTCAAGGGGAAAAGATCAAGACATGAATTATGATTATTTCACAAGAAGAAAATCTTAAGATAGATAGCTCTAAAAAGGATCATTTAGTTAAGGCGACACTTATATTTTAACTCTCCTGGTCTCATCATTAGAGTTTCAAAGTTTTTTTTTTCCACTGCAATTTCTCCCTATTAGAGGAATAATTTTGCTACTGCTTTTAAATGGTATTATTTCCAAATGTCACCTTATCAGCCAACTACCTAAACCAAAGACGGAATGAAAGTAAGACCAAGAAAGATGATGCTCCATTTTTTTTCTTCAAACTTTTGGAATCAAGAGAAAAGGGACTAGGTCTTAACTTACAAGTTTAAGATGATTAATATATTTAGCATAAGATTAAAGGGCAGATTAGTTTACAAGAGAATCATATCTTATATGAATCCATCTATAGAGAATGCACCCAGCAGTCATACAGTCATATTCACTAGAACAATAAACATACCCATGTATAGAGGGCCTTACCTGATTAAATTCACCTGCATTAAATAATTTTAGCCAAGATGGTGAGATGAGATCAGTTAACCCTCTATAGAACGCATTTGAAAAGGGAAATATCTGCAATTCAACATTGAAAACAAGGTAATTCTTCTCACCAGTAAGAGTAATAATAACTCTAATCTTCAAAACATTAGTTGAACAGGAATGAAATATAAACCTGTCGGTTAAGCTTATAATCAGCTATTGCATGAATGTACTGCATCTTGTTCTTGTTTGTCACAGTAACATCTTTCCCATCAGGCTTAAGCTCAATAACTTGCCTTTTTCCAAATGATTCTTCAGTTACAGTAAAATCCAGACAGAGTTCCTCGACATCACCATCATAGTGCTGCAATAACCACACAAGTAAAAGATCAAAATCTTTAAAGAAACAAAATGCATGGCAAAGCATATCAGTACATGTAAGACAAACTTGATCCAGAATGGAGACTTCAAGACACTTAAAGCTGGACAAGAACCAATCAAGGGTGCGTTATCTCAAACTGTACAGACAAAGCAACCAATAACACCTTAATTCAAATAGTTTAGGTTGAGATGCAACCAAATAGACCCTATCAAGTTTACAATATGCGGTCCTGATGTCATACAGCCTTCGTTTTTTTGGCCAAGTAATTTAATATAGCCCTTTAAGGAGCAAGGCACATCAGTTTTATCTCTTAAACATCTATAATAAATCTTCAACAGTTTTGTTATTGTATCCTAACACTTAGTGCACTAATATGGTTACATGATTATCAAACTAATGATCAATGCTTCAGAAAGGATTTAATGAGAATGGAAGGACCCAGACAGACAAACAAATCCAAGGTTTACCTTGACATACATGAGATTCCTGTAAAGCTCTGGATCAAGTGTTGATAGTTCATCAAGAAAGCTATATCGACCTAACAGCTTTTGTATAAAAACATGTGAAAAGGAGTAATCTAGCAAAATTCCTTCATAAAGAGCTTTGCCAACAACTCTTCCAAGGAACTCAATCATCTGGATACCATTCTCTAGATATCTTGCAGATGAATTAGGGATCAGAAGTCTGTCTGAGGTTGAGGTTTGGGAGAATAGCCCATACCTGATCAGCAGAAAAAATGAGCTCAGAAATCTGACTTCTAAAGAATCCAATAACAATGCAAGGAAGCAAAATGTAACATATACATATCTATATAAAATCTCAAACTTACTCGGGAGCAAAGGCTGCTTTTGATATATCAGTCAAAAACTCCTTAGATAATCCACCATAGTCCAGGCCAGCCTCGGGAAGGCCACATTCACTGACAAATGAAACATGGATGGATGACTTTAACCTTGACCCTAGAGAATTTAATTGCCGAAATCCATCTTCAACAATATGACCACGACGAACTACTATCTCAACTGATCGAGAACCAGGTCCAGCGACTTCACCAGCCATTTTTCGGGAGGCTTTATCCATCTTGATAAACTCTCTAAACATCTCAACTCTGCCATGATACTAAATTATGTCAGGAAGAATAATTTACTGTAGAGGTCTTAAAGATTTTTAGGAACAAAATTACGTCGAAGGTAAAACTCAAAAGAGTCAGTAGTGAAGAATCTAGCCACGATTCCATACTGTCAAAGGTAAAAAGTTAGAAAACTACGCAGTGAAGAATAGTATAGGCAATGAAGACGCAAAAATAATCAACCCACAAATTGTCAATCCCTACTGCCCCACCAACCCACCCACCTACCAGTGCTCACTCAAACCTCACAAGCCAGAGAAGCCATATAATGCATATTACATAGAAGAACTTCAGCACTTTCACTTGGAAACATATACAAACCAAACATTCAGGTGCACGCACCTGTGCAACCTCAAGGCGTATGTCACAAGGTCAACAATTTTCACTGGAAGCCAATAACAGGTCATCCAAAGGCCACAAAATGGGTTTCATATATCCAAGAAAAGGGGGAATCTCAAAAGTTGAGGAAGTAAACAAACTGAGCTAAAAACACAGGGAAAAAATAATTGAACTATTAAATTATTGAGTTTTCCATTATTTGATTATTTTCTTACCTTTCTTCAAATGGAAATACATGCGGGGTTGTAGTTATAACAGAACCTATACTTGGAACAGGCGCAGCATCATCTGATCTTACATTAGCTGAGAGAACTTCATGAGTTCTGGCAGCTACCGCGATTGGTGGGCGGTTCTTTCTAGCAGGTGAAAGCCACAAAACAAGGGGGCAGAACTGGTGCCTGCAATCCCTTTCATACATTAAGTGCAAGCATCTGATTGCAGATTCCATAAGGGGTCTATCCTGCTGTCCAATACTTTGAGAAAAACCATTATAAACTAATGTATTGAGGACAGATGTAATTTTCCGTTGTTGCTCCAGTGTGAATGGCACCTATTCATGCATAAAATGCTCCAATCATAAGATTTGAATAATCATAACAATCACTGAAAAATAAGAAAAAATAATATTACCTGTTTTTCGTAGAATTCTATGTCATCAAGAATCAAAAGTAGGTGTGAATAGCTTGCACAGAAAAGATGAAGCATACATGAGATATCTCTAGAGATACCTTGAGGGCCATGCTTTACAGGTTCTATATCCCAAACATCAGAAGAATCCTCGTCAACAGGTCTAGGCTTAGGTTGATTATCACTCAAATTTGTATAATCATTGCCTTGCGACTTGCCAGTAATTTTATGCAGAACAGTGACCCACTTATTAACTCCATCATTATTGGCGTGTTTTTGTTTTTTCTCAAAAGCCCCAACTTTTTTGTCATTGACTGAAATTTTACTAATACGGTCATAATTGTCTGGATCAGTGTGACAATCCCTGGGGAAAAGGTTTGTTTCCAATGCTCTCCATAGATTCACAAGAAACCCAGGAGTAAAAGATAGCATGTTAAGGACTGGCAATGATCCAACTGTGGGGTTGAATAATGAAAATATTCTGAGCATGTATGAATATAAATGCACAATATCTAGCAGCTCCAACTTCCTTGAATGTTCCAGGTTTTGTCGTGTCTCAGACCCTTGAATACGACCAACTTTATCCATTATAGCCAAAAGATCTGTAAGATGCCACTGCTGGGAAATAGGTCTAAACATATCCA